CAGTGCTGCTCTATGATATTGGAAGAACAGAACCAGGGATTTTCCTCCACAGGGAGGGAAAAAATCAAAGAGAGCCTTATCCCTAGCATTTCAGAGTGCCCTCTGCAGAGCCAGTTTATGTGTCACTTTATACTGAGTGCTGAATGACCAGAAGAGCCTGGTCCCCTGGGATAGCTAGGAACAAATGAAAACAAAGGCCATCATTCTGAAATCACACTGCTTTGCAAGACTGAGAATAGGTGCAGAAAGGAAGTTTTATCTCCATAAGGAAAGGAAGGAAGCAAAGGGGACCTTATCCTTCATAATGTAAAGCACCCTCTGTGGAACCAGTTTCTATCTCACTTAATACTAAGCACTGAACAACTGACAGAGTCTGGGACAGCTGGCAACAAAGAAAGAGACAGGTGTGGTCTTACACCAGGCACTACTCAGCAAGATTGGAGGAAAGCACAGAACCAAGGTGTTTCCTCCAAAAGTGAGGGAAGGAAGCAAAAGGGACCTTGTCCATTCATACAGTGCACCCCCCAAGAGGTTTGCTTCTGTCTTGCCTCATACTGAACACTGCTGACTGATAAAGGTCTCTTCCAGTCAAAACCAGGCTGTAAAGATGGAAGAGAGAGCTGATTCTTCCAATGCTCAAACAACAAAGCAAACTCACAGGGAACATTAAGAATTAAGAAAATATGGTATAACCAAATGATGAAAATAAGTTTCCAATAACCAACTGAAAGAAATGCAGACCTGTGAATTGCACCACAAAGAATTCAAAGTAATCATCTTGCCCTAGACAGTCTGGCTCAGTGGTTAGAGTATTGGCCCACAGGCTGAAGGGTTCCAGGTTTGATTCCAGCCAAGGGCACATACCTCCATTGCAGGCTGGGCCCCATTCAGGGTGCATGCATGAAGCAACCAATTGGTGTGTCTCTCTCACATCAATATTATTTCTCTCTCTTTCTCTCTCTTTCCCTTCACTCTCTCTGAAAAGCAATGAAAAAAATATGCTCAGGTTAGGACTAAAAATAAAAACACACACAAAATAATCATCTTTAAAAAGCTCAGTGAGTTATAAAAGAACACATATAGATAACTAAATGAAATTAGGAAAAATAAATGAACAAAGTGGGAAGTTCAACATATACGTAAAAGCCATTAAAAAGAATAAAAAAGAAACACTGAAACTCAAGAATACAAGGCTGAACTAAAAAAAAAAATCAGTAGAGGGGTTCAAAAACAGACTTGATCAATCAGAAGAAAGAATCACTGAACTTAAATACAAGTCATTTGTAATTATTCAGTCAGGGAAGCAAAAGGAAAAAAAGAGTGAATAAAGCCTGCGGGATTTTTGGGACTTCATAAAGCAAACCAATGTGTGCATATAGGTAGTCCTTGAAGGAAAATAGAGAAAGGGGCAGTAAGTCTATTTCAAGATATAATAACTGAAAATGTCCCAAATCTGGGGACAAAAATTGACATCCAGATACATGAAGCCCAACAAATCCCAAAAATGTTAAATTTAAAGTGAGGTACAGTTAGACATATTATAATAGAATTGTTAAAGTCAAGGGGAAAATTTTTAAAGCACTAAAAGAAAAGTACCTCATCACAAACAAGGGATCCCCCACAGAACTGTCAATGGTTACTCAGCACAAATCTTGCAGACCAAGAGAAAGTGGGACAATATATTCAAAGTCCAAAAAGAGAAAAAACTGCCAACCAAAAATACCATACCCAGCAAAGCCATCCTTTGAGAAATTAATGAGGGATGAAGACTTCCTTAGACAAACAAAAACTGAGGGAGTTCATCACCACTAAGCCTGCCTCACAAAAACTGATAAGAGAAGTTTTTCTAACCTAAAACTAAAGGATGGTAATTAGCAAGATAAAAACATAAAATCTATAATACTCACAGGTAAAGTATATAAACAAATTCAAGAGACTCTAACACTGTAATAATGACACATGAATCACTTTTAACTCTAGTATAAAAATTAAAGGACAAATATATTACAAATAACTAATAATTTGTTAATGGATACACAATATAAAAAGATGTAAATTGTGACATCAGTAACAAAGTATATAGAAGGGAGAAGTATAGTTGTATGCAAAATTAAGTTGTTTTGAGCTTATAATAGACTGTTATAATTATAAGGTATTCTATGTAAACCTCATAGTAAACAGAAATTTTAAAAACCTGTAGTAGATAGACAAATATAAAAAGAAAGAAATCAGGGCATACCACTACAAAAAATTATCAAATATCAAAGGAAGACAGTAGCCAGTAAGAAGAAGAAAGGACCAAAGCAACTACAAAACAGTAAGAAAACAATTATCATAAAGGCAATAATAACTTCTTGCTTATCAATGATTATTTCAAATGTAAATGGACTAAAATTCCCAGTCAAAAAACATACGGTGACTGAATGGATTTTAATCAACAAGACCCACCTCTGTGCTGACAACAAGAGGCTCACTTTAGCGTTAAGGACATATATAGGCAAAAAGTGAAGGATTGGAAAATATATTTCATGCAAATGGTAACCAAAACAGAGCAACAGAAGCTATTCTTATATCAGACAAACTATACTTTAAGTCAAAAACTGTCAAAACTCATAAAGAAAGTCATTATATAATAATAAAGGGGTCAATTCATCAAGAGGACATCATAATTATAAATATACATGTGTCCAATATCGGAGTCCTTAACATATGAAAAATATATTTCTTCCAGCCTGAAGAATTTGGATTTGCCAGACCCCACTATCACATTAGCCAGTTCCTTAAAATTCCACACCTCCTCCACTCACAGGAGAGTGTGTGCGAGTACACACACATGTACCCTATTGATCCTATTGATTCTGTTTCTCTGTGGAACCTTAATACAGATAGTTATTTTTTAAAAGTAGGGAGATTTTATATTAAAAAAATCATAGTCTTAAATTTGCATACACCTAAATAATACAGATTCATTGTTTTTAGGTTTATATACTCTTGTGAATATTTGTTATATTTCACAATAAAATGATTTTAAGTGTTAATAGTGATAATATTATAGCCCAAAGAAATGGTTGATTCCTCAGAGATGCTTACATCATAGAAGGACAAAACCCACAGAATCAGTCCAGAAAATTCAAGAGAGACAAGAGTTGAAAGGAGAGCTGGGAGGAGGAGGAAGGAGAAAGAGAGAACATCAGTACAACAGAACTGTGCATACCCATTATTCTTAAATTAGGAGCACTACATTTGAAATATAATCAATTGTCAACACCTTTAGAGAGGCAATAATAGTTACTACAATGGATATTTACAAACATCACGGAGAAACATATGTGGTAACAGAAAAAATTCAAGAATTCTCCTCCAAAGCAATGACAGGACTCCAAACACTGAGGTGGGAGCAGATTTCAAGGCATTTCAAATACTTGGGACTCTTCCAAACTCAAAACCCAAGTCTTGACTAATTCCTCATCTTCGGGAAGAACTCAGAAGATACAAAGTTGTCCTTGTTCTTCAAAATTGGTTGTCTACTTCCCATTCTTGTGTGAAGTATTTGTGAGCATGTTGTTAGCTACTTAGCCTGGGTCTTATCAACCCAAAACAACTGATAGTGCTGGGAAAACAGGCAAATATTTGACATTGCCTGAGATGACATCTCACTACACATCTTGTGAAGTGGTTTTTGTCTCCTCCTTCTCTAATGGCATCTCTTCCATTCAAATCATTTTCTCTGTATTTATTTCTAGCAAGTCTTAGAGGTTGATTGGATATATATTCTTTATAGACCCAGTAAGCTATTGGTATGAAGCAACACTAATATTAAAGTATAAATTTTGTATGAAAAAACAATCTTTAGCTTGAAAATCTTAATAAGAAAGAATAAAAAGTGGAAAAAATAAAGAGATAACCTTTAAAATCAATGCAGAAAAATTAGTCATTCAAGAATGGATGTTAATCCAAGGTATATGCCTCAAAATAAACAAAGAAAAATAAAGAAAAATATAAAGCTTTGAACCTAATTTTACTTCTTACACACACACACACACACACACACAAATATAGACTACAGTATTAAAGACAAAGTAATCTGAAAGAAACTAAAGAAAATATGAGGTAAATTTTTGTCATTTTAGAGTGCTATAAATTTTTAAGCATGTAACTCAGGATCCATAAAAAGAAATTTTGATAAATTGACTATTACAAACTATTCTTTAAATTCTGCATGGCAAAAAAGGACCATAAATAGAGTCAAAAGGGTAATAATAAACTTTTTAAAAAACACATATGTATCATGGGTTTATGACAATTTCATTAACATAGAAAATGCTCTTTAAAATCTATATTTAAAAGACAATAACAGTAGAAAATAAGGAAATATATAAATGGAAAATTGAGGAAAAATGTAAATGACTTTTAAATATAGGAAATGAAACCCTGTGTCACTGATAATTAAATAAATTATTTAAAATAAAAGAAAGTCTAAGTGATAAGGAAAAGTTTTAAAACTTAGTAATACATAAGGTATGAAGAAAGTAGGTATTCTGCTCAATCACTTCTTTCAGAGGTATATATTTATAAAATTATCTACAAGCCAGTTTGGTTGAACCATATAGGCTACTGTAAGTCCATTCTTTTTTAATAATACTTTATTTCCCTAAATTTTTATTCAATACTTAATTAATATTTATAATACTCATACTTTTTTATTTTAATTATTTTGGCTTTGTTACTTTTTGTGCTATTTTTAATTCATCGATGATTAGCTTCCAATTTTCTGCTGGTTTTGGGAAGTAATCATTCCTTGTGATAAAGGCACTGGTAGAGAGCATGGGTAGTCTCTTACATATTTTCTCATTCAGTCCTATTTTCATCCTCCACTCAAATACCCTCCAAACACACACAGAGCATCATCTACCTAAATTATTCAAATGTAATTAGTGTTTCTGATTCCAACACCTTTCCGCAAGGGTACAGCAAACATCACTGTGCTTCTTGTTGGTTAGTCACAGTAGGTTCAGGTTTCCAAGTTTATGCTCAGCTCCCCCTGCAGTTTCTGTCACTGTGTCTCCCAGAACACAGTAGTACATTGCCGAATCTGACTCGTGGACTGATGCTTTCTCCAAGTGGAAGGAATTTTGTTCTTTGCGGTATGTGGCTTCAAAACCTTTGTTGCTTCCTTTCTCATTGGCCCTTGTGGCTTTCAGGAGAAGCTGTAGACTTTCTCCAGGATACTGAACATACCAGAAAAGAGTGGGGTACCCTGTGGCTGAAAAAGTACAATTCAAAATCAGGTAAGCATCTTCTGACAGAGTCACTTGGCTTTCCACCTGGGTCACTGAGTCTCCATGGGTTAGTCCTGGAAAAAATGAAAAGACATCTATGTTATCCTGCATGACACTCTTAAATAAAATTATAGTTAAAGAATTTGTTGACAAAATGGAAGAAAGAATTTATATTTTAAGAAGCATGTTACTTACCAAGCACTAAAAGTACCACAGTCACTAAGCCCAGAGAAGTTTTCATCTCTATAATGTCACCTAAATAATGTCCTTGATTCTTAACATGAAGAAATGTTGAAGTCACTGTGAAATGATAAATCGAAGTCTACATTTCACACAGGAAATGTTTGTGTTGGGAAGCAACACCCCCTGGTGGACAGGAACTGAAATGGAATGCATAATTCCTTTTTTCAAAAAAATTTCTTCAATTACAGTTGACATACAATTTATATTAGGAGTACACTCCAGTGATTAGACAGTATATAACCCACTAAGTGATTATCCTAATAAATCTCATACCTATCTGACACCATACATAGTTACTCAAATATTATTTCTTGGGCTCCCTATGCTGTACTTTACATCCCCATAACAATTCTGTAACAACCAATTTGTACTTCTTAATCCCTTCACCTTTACCACTCATCCCTGCAACCTTCCTCCCATCTGGCAACCATCAAAATGTTCTCTATATCTATGAGTTTGTTTCTGTTCTGCTTGTTTATTTATTTTGTTTTTTTAGATTTAATAGTTGATAGATAAGTAGCTATTACCATTTTATTGTTCATATTTTTTATGTTTTATTTTTTTCTTCTTCTTCTTAAAGGAAACCATTTAATATTTCATATAATACTGGTAATGAACTCCTTTAGCTTTTTCTTGTCTGTGAAATTCTTTACATGTCCTTTGATTCTAAATGATAGTGATGCTGGGTAGAGTAATCTTGGTTGTAGATTCTTGCTTTTCATCACTTTGAATATTTCTTGCAAATCCCTTTTGGCCTGCAAAGTTTTTGTTGAGAAATCAGCTGACAGCCTTATGGGAGCTCCCTCGTAAGTAACTAACTGCTTTTCTCTTGCTGTTTTTAAGATTCTCTCTTTGTCTTTAACCTTTTGCATTTTAATTATGATGTGTCTTGGTGTGGGCCTCTTTGGGTTCATCTTGTTTGGGACTCCCTGTGCTTCCTGGACTTGTATATCTATTTCCTTCACCAAGTTAGTTTCTGTCCTTATATTTTCAAATAGGTTTTAAATTCCTTGCTCTGCTTCTTCTCCTCTGGCACTCCATGATGCAAATGTTGATACACTTGAAGTTGTACCAGAGGCTCCTTTCACTATCCTCATTTTTTTTGGATTCTATTTTGTTTTTGCTTTTCTGATTGGGTGTGTTTTTCTTCCTTATATTCCAAACCACTGATTTTATTCTCAGCTTCATCTGCTCTACTGTTGATTCTCTTTAAATTATTCTTCATTTCAATTAGTGTATCCTTCATTTCTAACTGGTTCTTTTTTATGGTTTTCATGTCCCTTTTATGCTGTTGAAGTTCTCTGTAAGTTCATTCATTCTTCCCTTAAGTTCATTGAGCATCCTTATAACCAGTGTTTTGAACTCTGCATCTAGTGAATTTCTTGTCTTCATTTTGTTTAGTTTTTTTCTGGAGTTTTCTTCTGTTTTTTCATATGGGATATGTTTCTTTGTCTTTTCATTTTGGCAGGCTCCCTGTGTTTGTTTCTATGTATTAGGTAGAGCTGTTACATATCCTGAGCTTGGTAGGGTGGCTTAATGTAGTAAGTGTCCTGTATGGTCCAGTGGCATAGACTCCTCATTTATCTGAGCTGCCTCCACCCTTGTGTAGGCTCTGTATACCCTGCTGCTGTAGTTAAACCTTGATTGCTGTTGGCATATCAATGGGAAAGATTTACCATCAGGTCAGTCAGCTGCAAGGACTGGCTGTGATCCCTGTGGAGGATCAGCTGTGCAGGGGTTCATTCCATGGAACAGGACTTACTTCAGTGGGACTCTGGGGCCTGCTGAGTTTTCCCCTTGAGTCACTTGTGGAGGTGGTAAGGTGGTGCTTTGATGTGGCCTGAAATTGTCCATGGGCTGCACTGGCTTTGGGGCCTCCCAGGAGGTGCAGACCAAGGTCAGCCACTGCCTATGTTCTGCCTGGAGCCATCTGGCATGAGCTACAAAGCAATATGAAGATGCCTTGTATTTGTGCTGGGCTTAGATGTGTCTGGGAGAGGCCAAGCTGTGAATCATGGCTGGCTGCTGCTAGTGCCAGGTATAGGACCACTTAGCAAGAGGTACAGGGTATGCAAAGGCCAAATGCTGCTTGTTTGAAAAATTTAAGAAAAGTCTGAAGCATGAGCAAGACAAGCCATTGGAAACAGGTTGGGTGGGCCCACAAGTTGGTTGGGGCAGGCTCTCAGTGAATCATCTGGATGGGCAAACAGTGATAACCAGGCTGATGGAGACGTGAATATGTGGGAGAAGGGCTCAGAAAAGAAACAATGGCCTCTGCCAGCACTCTGTCTAGCAGGAAGCTCCCCCTCCAGCTCTCGGCCTGATGCCAAACAGTTCATTCAGCTCCTCCTCATATGTCCCTGATGCCTTTTGAGCTGCTGTCCCAGTGCTGGAGCATAGAGAGAGTGAGCCCAAGTAAGTCTGTTCATGAGCCCTATAAGAGGAACAGGCAGAGACTCCAGAAGCCCTTCGTCTCACTCAGTCTCAATCCCTGTTGGTTTTTACAGCCAGAAGTTAAGGAAACTTCTCTTCTTGGCACTTGACCCCTTGGCTTGGGGGCCTGGTGTGGAGCTAAGACCCCTTGATCCTCAGGGGGGACCTCTGCAGCTGACATATCCCTTTCCATTTTTATCTACCACACTTGGGTGTGGAACTAGCCTTTTCTGCATCTCCACCCTTCCTACCAGTCTTGATGCGGCTTCCTTTTTATATCTCTCAGTGTAGGACTTCCATTCAGCTAGACTTCAGTTGGTTCTCAATGATTATTGTTCTGTAATTTAGTTGTAATTTTTATGCATTTGTGGGAGGATGCAAGTAGTGCATCTACCTATACTGCCATTTTGACTGGAAGGGGGAAGTGTGATTCTTAGACTCCTCCCAAGTAGCACATGTTCTCATCTCTGATTTTATGAGTCATAAAAAATTGGAACAATGACTACTGTAAATTCTCAGACCTATTTCTTTTCTTAGGACAATGCCTGACATGGGAATTCTTTAACAGACCATCTCAGGGTATTTCTATATTTGGAAGATATCAACTTTCTTTAGCATTTTAATGCAGTACTTTATATATTCATGTACCCATTGCAGGCCTGCCTATAATCCATTGAATGTCAGAAAGAGTTTGGGGTTGAAATCAGAGGAACTAATAAGAAGGCAAGTCTTTATTGATTGATTCTTCACTTTTCAACACTGGACCCCAATATAGAACAGTGACAGACATTTATTACATGCTTACTAAGTATTTGTTAAATTAAACAGAAAAAAAGCCATCTTTCATTGAGGATTCACTACTACATGAGATATAATATTCCCTGGTTCTAAAATTATATCAATTGTGAAGAATGAACACTTTTCAGGAAAAAAGTCACATTGTCTTATCAATAGTCAAATATTTTTGAATTTCAGAATCATTAAAAATAAAAAGTATGAATCCTAGAAAGAAGAAACATCATAACTGAAGTTACTGAATCACTAAAGAATGACCTGAGATCAATGTCTTATTCTCCCATCATTTTACTCACTCCAAGATGAGGTAGCTAACCTATCTGAATCAGATATAGCCTCAAAAATGCTTTCTACTACCATCCATCTGCCAAATTTTGTGACCAAACTTTAATCAAATAATTTTCCCTGACAGGGTAGAGAACCTCAAAGATGTGAATTTAAGCAAAAGCCTGGAACACAAATTAGGGCTCTCTTCTTTCTCAGCTTTTCAAAGTGTTAAAGATATATCTGCTGATATTCATACAATGGCTAATAGTGGAATCAATGTGTAAATTATTTAAAACTAAAGATTCTTGGACCTCACCACTAATTTCATGAATCATATTTTCCAGGCCTGAGACCCACTCATTTATAATAAATAAAACCTCACTTAGGTGGTTTTGTTGTTGTCAACCTGATATCAGCTTACAAGATTTCATTTGTGATAACTGTCCTAGACCAAGATGGTTTTCAAAGATCGGGGAAAATCTCTGGGATTAGCATGGGGAAATATCCCTATGACTACACAAAAAATTTAAAATTACTCTTTTTATGAACTGCCAGCATCAAAAGGAAGCACTACTTTAGTCCCCTTCTTATGGCCATCCGCTTATAAAACAAAAAATGAAATGAAAAAACTCTGAGGGTTATCAGGATAAAATTCTGGAGAAGGACACATCTTTCTGTAAGGCCTTGTCACTGTTTAGCCATAGACACATGGATGGAAGCTTAGCTCAGCCTCTTTCCTGGAGTTCTCTCTCCAGAGATTCAGATCAAGAGGCTTCATTAGTCCTGAGTCCGTGTGTGTGTGAATAGTCTCCTAGATGTGGACTCAGGAAATTCAGGCCCAGAGAGTTAACTTCTCCTTCACCTTCCAAATGACATTGTCAAAACACACCACAAAATTATGCTAGAAAGGAATTCTAGAAAAGCAGCTACAAACTTTTATTCTGATATACAAGGAGAAAAAATAAGTTCGGATGATGCTGCACTGAAAGTAAACTATTTAGCATGTGGGTATACAAAGTTGTAATATATACTTTTAAAAACATATTTTAAGGCCCATGAGAACCTAGAGGATAAATATTTTGTATCTTGGGTCACATGAGAAAACTTGTACAACATTGAGAGAAAATCTTGGTTCAATTTTTATTTTTAATGGCTTTATAAATGCATAATTTTCATAAAAATAAAGTGCACTTATTTAAAGTAAACAATTTTATAAGATTTGACATTTTTATATACTTGTGAAGTCATTACCATAATCGAGATAATGAACATATGCAGCACCCAAAAAATTTCCCTTTGTGTCTTTGTAATCCTTCCCTCAAACATCTCTCCACTTCCCACTCCCATTTTCAGGACACACCTCTGCCATAAATTACTTTATTTTATAATTTTGTAGAAATGGAATCATATGTACTCTTTTGTCCTGTTTCTTTCTCTCAGCATAATTCTTTTGAGATTCTTATATGGTTTCTTAAGTATCAATGGTTCATTTTTTTTCTTGAT